TCTCTGGTCTCAGAAGTCAGCAGAGGCCGGCCCGGTGGCGCACTGCTACAGTGCACCGCTTGGGAAGCGCAGCGGCGCTCCCACCGAGGGTTCGGATCCCACATACAGACCGGTTCCCGCTCACTGGCTGAGCGAGGTGTGGGCACGACACCGAGGGTTGTGATCCCGTTGCCGGTCCCGGTCTGGTACGGGCGCGACACTGAGGGTTGCGATCCATTGCCGGACACGAAAAAAGACAAAAAAAAAAAAAGAAGTCAGCAGAGTGGTTACCCCTGGCTATTGGTGACCAAGGCCGGTTAAGTGGGCTTCACGGATGCTGGTAATGTTCTGGATGCTGGTTACATGGGTGTTTTCAATTTGTGAAAATTCACTGAACTACATGTTTACGATATATACACTTTCTATGTGCTTATTATACTTCAATTTAAAAAGTTTTAAAAATAAAAATAATTTATTTTTCTCATTGCCTATTCTTCCCACAGTCCAGGCTGGATCAGTGATGTCATCGCGTGACAAGGCTGCTTTTATCTCTCTCTCATCTTCAGTGCATGGCTTTAACCTGCACGGAGGCAAAACGACTGCTCTTCCTCCAGGTATTTTGTCCTTGTTACAGGCAGGAAGAAGGTAGAAAGGCCAAAAGCTTTTCCTTTGAGAGGCTTTGTCATCTTCTTCAGGAAGAGAAACATTTTCCAGAGACTTCCACCTGATTTTTGTAGGCTAGACTTCTGCCACGTGGCCACACCTAACTGCAAGTGATTCTGAGAGGAGGATGACTTTAGTTGGGCATGTTGCTGCCCCAGATAAAACTGTGCTTTTTGTAAGTGATGAACAGAAGGGATGATGGAGAGGCACTAGAAGTACCCAGGGTATGAGGGGATGCACTCTCAAGGACTTTTCATTCAGTGGGGGAGTTAACAGAAAATGTGAAGCAGTTTGGTAAGTCCTCAGCAGGAAGTGCAAGGTGCTGTAGGAGCAGAGGTTTTGGGGGGAGATGTACCAGAGTACTAGAGTGGAAAACACACCATGGAGGCCATACTTTGTAGGACTGGTGGAAGTCCTCCAGGTGGAGATAAAAAGCATATATTAAAGTTGTCAAAGAGCATAGTGAAATTGAGAACTAAATGTCGTCTGGTGTTCCTGGAGAAGTGAGTGTGAGCTGGAAGGCTGAAGACGGGGAGATGGAGTGGGGTGGGGGGACAGGAAGAGGACAGTCATGCAAGTCTCATGTCCCCCAGGGAGCTCCTGAAGGGTTTTAAGCAAAGGGAGGAAATAATCAGATTAGCATTTTACTTTTTTTTTTTTTTGGTAGCTGGCCAATGCTGGGATCCGAACCCATGACGTTGGTGTTGTAACACCATGCTCTAACCAACTGAGCTAACTGGCCAGCCCAGATTAGGATTTTAAATAGATATTTCTACCAGCATATCACCTGAAATCACTGGACACTCAAAAGAGGGTACTTCAAAAAGTGCATGGAAACATTCGTATTATCTTTTAATTCTATTTTTCCACATGCTCTTTGAAGTACCCTCATATAATATGTAATAATAGGTGTAGTGGTGGAGTAGTGTTTTGAGATAGGAGGAGCAGAAACAGGGTTTTTGCAACAGTATAGAGGAGAAATGTTAAAAATTTGAATCAGGGCTACTGGAAGAGGGATAAAAATTTCTCTGCGTTCCAAATTTGTCTGTTGTGTATTTTGCATATTAAAGTAGGGCTCTTTCCTGATATTGCTTTTCTTCCTCAATTCCGTTTCCTACTAAATCCTAGATGAAGACTGAGATTTTTTTTCTTGGTGTTTTTTGCAGCTGGCCCCTGACCTTGGTATTATCAGCACCATGCTCTACCAACTGAGCTAGCCAGCCAGCTGAAGAGCGGGATTCAAGAAAAAGGGAAGAGAAGGGGGAGCCTTCCTCAGGTGACCATTACTAAGGAAAGAAATGTTTGCGGGGCCCTGGGTTCTGAACTCCTCTCCCTTCTTTTGTCTCCCTCTCCTTCTTTCCTCTTCTCCTTTCATGGCTCCTAGCTAATATTGTCTGTGCCCTTGGCTTCTCCCCACCTGTTTGCTGCTAACTACCAATCTTTGTCTCCTATCCAGATTTCTTTCCTTAGTGGTTGACATAGACCATTATATACCACTGGCTTAACGTCTCCACCTGCAGGCATCACAAATTCTCAAACTCAATATACTAAACAGAACACACTATTTTCTATCCTTCTATTTCTCTACCTAAATGGGCGGCACCATTAGGTAGAGATATAGAAGAAAGATATATATGTAGAACGATACAGAAGAAAGGGGTCATATGTGGATGGATCCACATAGCTGAAAGGGATCAGAATATGACACCCCAAATATGCAACTTTGGCCTAAGAATTATTTTGAGCTGAAGACAATTTAAAAAGACAGCAGACACAGGAGGAACTATTTTTCCACTTTCTGCCTAATAGCAGGGTGTAAATTTCCGTTTGTGAAGAAAGGTATCTCCCCTTTCTTCTCCCATAGCAGAGGAGGAGATCAACCCTCATCACAGAAGACAGAAAGCTGGCACCAACGTGAATCTGCATAAACAAATCTTACCAAAATAACTCTTATTTTCCATAGTGCCTTCCATATATTTACCTTCCCATAATTTTCCACCCCTAAATGCCCAAATCCCTCTTCCTTTGTCTTGTCAGTTCTCCACCTAAATATTGCTAAGTGGTATGTAAGCCCTTGGACCTAACCACTTCTTTCCTAGGAAGCTCTCACATGCATGCACCATAAACGTTTTCTCCCATTCATCTGTCTTTTGTCAGTTTAATTTGCAGGCCCCAGTTGCTAAACATAACTGGGTAGAAGAAAAGTTTCTCTTCCCCTACACAGGCCACAGTTTAGAGTTCTGGCAACCTTCCCAGACTCTTCCCTGGTCCCCCTTTCTTACACCCAGTCAGTCACTGACAATGGCAAACCACCTGCACTTCTGGGAAACAGGCCAGTTAAGAAAGGCACTCATCCTTCTGTCGGCCAAAACCCCCAACCCTTTGTGTTCTGGGAAAACAGTTACCTGCAAAGGATCATCTTGATCTTGCATATTTCATAAAAAGGCACATCTCCATCCTTGCCCATGACTCCCATAAGACTCATGTACGACTCCCGGTTTTTCTGCCTCTATAAAACCTCAGGTCTCCTTCCTTTTCTTGGAGATGTTACTCGTTAATAAACCTGCTTTCTACTGCAGTCGCCTGAATAAAGCATCTCCTTAATGGGTGCATTTTGTTTTTGACATCACTGACTCTTCCTAATTCTGTCCTGCAGGTTGACTAACTGTTGACTGTGTCCTCCTCTTCACGTCCACTGCCAGTGGACCAGTTCATACCTGCATTACTCTAACGGTCTCCTACACGGTTTCAAGGACTTCAGCTTTCCCCTTCTCCACCCCACTCTTCACCCTGTTATTAGAATGACCTTTCTGAAAAGCAAGTCATGGCAAGTCATGGTCCAACCTCTCTCTATGTCTCCAGTCTAACTTTTAGGACACACACACAATCCGTGAGCACACTGAGCTACTTGGGTGAAATACCACGCTTTCTCCCATCTCTTTTTTACCTGTAGCTCACTTTGCCCAAACATGCTTTCTCTCCTCATTTTCTGGTTGCTGCTCATCCAGCACAGGCATCAACCCGGAGAAGCCTTCCCTGACCACCCCTTCCCCACCTCAGTCTGGGAAGGGGCCTCTACCATGTACTCCCATAGTGTTTTGTACTTTCTTTCTATCAGTTTTTGTCACACAGTAAGTAGTATGACTTAATTTGTTTCTTCCCTCCACTAGTCTGTGAGCTTTTTGAGAATAGAAACTTTGTTTTATTTATCTTTGTATTCCTAGGCCTGGTACAGTATCTGTTGTATAAGTGTATGTATTCTGGACTTACTGTAAGTACTATAATACTGTCTTTTTAATTGCTAAATGCCACGTAATCCTTAAATCACCTTGTTTATGTTTCAGTGAGTTAAACCATGTACATTTTTTTTCATTAACATCCTTTTATTCAGGGTAGTTGGTAATTTAAGTCATAAGAATATTCTTTTTTCCCTATCTGAAACCCAAAAGAAACAAGAATAAGGAGTTTTTGTAATCACTTAAAATGTATTCTGCTCATATAACTTCCTCTGTCTTGGGGATCACCACCTCCTTCCATTCCAAAAGAGGGGAAGTTCTGGTAAGAGCTACAGACCCAAAACATACAGGCGCTGGAGCTCTTGGTGAGTGGCAGGAGCTTTTGCCGTGGCCCTCTTCTCCTTGGAGCTCCTGTTCTCGTCCCTTGATACCTGAGAGGTAAGGCAGGCGTGGGGAGGACCTCCCTATGGTGTCTTCCCCCATCTTTCCTCCCTTTGGGAACTCCTAGAAGGACCAGGACAGAGAGTGTAGGGTGGAGGAGACAGGGAGAGAACAGTTCATGCAAGTGTGTCCCTGGGCTTAGGAAAAAATCCTCTCCAGCATGCACTTACTTTTCCCTGACTCTCTCAGTATGACTTTATATTTCAGGGGAGCATAATGACTCCAGTGGGTATTCAGGATAAAAGATACAATTACCTGAAGAGTCTTCTCGGTTTAAACATCATCAGCCTTACTCCCCTTATTCCTCTGTCTTTGAATCTGTTTCCAGAACAAAAGCATTCCTCCAAGGAAGAGCTTACACACTGACAGGTGTCCATGTGGAGAAAGGCCGGGGGAGTCGTGCAGGAGAGAAGCAGAGGTGGAGCGGGAGTCCTGGCCAGCCACTGTTCCTGTCATCAGTCACTGCGCTGCAGGAGTGGGCTGGCTGAACACAGCCCCTTCATCCGAACTCTATTCTGACTCCTCCCTGCATCTTTAACATGATTATTTGAGAAGTCTGGGTCAAAAGGTTTAAGGAAGAAGCTAAATTGTGAGGTTTTGTTAAAAGATGATCATCATCTTTAAAACAAAAACAGAAAGAATCCTTTGGTATCCAAAGAAATAGGCACGCAGCCAAATGCATAGATCTTCTTTCCAAACTTTATTTTTTTAGCCTATTCCCAAATCCCTAAATCACATCTTCCCTTAGATTTAACCTCCCGGAAGACATTTGTATCTTCCCTCGATCACCCTCTACCACCAATTCAATTATATGCCATTTATAAAAAGCCTTTTACCCTGAGATATTTTATATGATGTGGTCCTTCGACCTAAAGAACAATGTGGACCACTGTTCTCAAAAGTCTATTTCTAATAATGGAGAGTTCCCTAAATGGCTAAACCACATCTCTTGTCCCGTGATCTTTCCCATGTAACGTGTCCTTGGTGTGACTATTCCTACCCCATCTGCCTGTCCAGGTGTGCTGATCTGTCACCCATCCACTAGTCAATCAGATACATCAGATTATTTGATTGAGTGAGTTTTGCTTGAAGAGGCAGAAAGAATGTTCTACTCTCCGGTAATGTCATGGAGCATTCATGTAATCTCTTCCCTTCTTCTATCCTGAAAAGCAAACAAACAAATAAAAAGAAGAAGATATCATGATACTCGGAAAGTCTTTACATTTATGGAGAAGCTTTTCACTATGACAGATATCAGGGCACCTAACATCTCTATATAGAAAAAAATTTTTCACAGATGCACGATGAGATTATGAATAGTGTTATCTCACAGAAGTGGAATCAGGTAAACTTTACGTTCATCTTAGTATTTTTTTCAAAATATTTTACCACTTATTCGTACATATTTGTGGGGTACAGAGTGTTGTTTCAATACATGCACACGCTGCACAATGACTCACTTAGGGTAGACGGCACAGTTCTGTACCCAGCAGTCCACCACTTTTCCTCCTCCCTTGTCTTAGAATTTTTATATAGCAAAGATATATTATGTAAAAATAACTAGGAAAATCAATGTGTTTTCAATTTGACAGGAAAAAATATTGTTTTTTAAAATCACATAGAAGCTCTCATACAAATGCTACTATTAGCTTTTTTTAATGTAAACTATGGAAATTATTGCTCTCTCTTGTTCAAGAGTTTAGCACAAAAAGAGGAAAACCCACTTTCTATCAAACATATGCTTCCAAAAGATAGTGACAGTAACTCAAAGTGTCTTGAGTTACTCTTTTGAGCGTCCTCTAACTTCTGAGTATTCCCACCTTACCCCAATACCTTTTTCTCTGATGGACTAAACTCATTTGCAGGGATCAGAATACTGCATTGTTGCCTGTTCATCTGTAAAATAAAATGACATATATTATTACTTCGAAGGCTTCATACTTTCAGAGAGAAAATGCTTCATAAAACTACTGCTTTAGCCCTTTTCAGAGGATCCCTACAGGTTATAAGCATATTCAGAATTACAAGAAGGTTTTAGTTACTAATATTTGCAATGTTGCGGTAAATTATTAATCACAGCAAAAATATTAGAAATAGCCTTTTGAGAACAATGGTCCACATTGTTCTTTAGGTCAAAGAACCACATCATTTAAAATGTCTCAGGGTAGAAGGCTTTTTAAAAATGGCATGTAATTGAATTAAAACGTTTTAGGAGGTTGGGTCATGTAATTAAGTGCTACTTGGCTTGGGAAGGAATATTTGTAAAATTAAAAGAGGTCCCAGACCCCAGCCCTCACCTAGTAGGTAGTAGTCATAAACTCTGACAGTGGCTGGTTTCAGGTTGGCGACCAACACACTTTGGCTGATGGTGAAGGTATAGGTCTGAGTCTTTTTACTGAGCTGTGGGGAAGTCAGATGAAGCAGCACATTAAAACTAAAATGAAAATAACACTCTCTGTAACGTGCGGGTTAAAAGACCCTCGCTGTCTACACGCAGACTTTCCGAAACCCTCCGCCTATCCCTTCCGCCCTATGCCAGTCTTAAAGATATGGCTGCCTGGTCTTTCTTCTTAGGATCTTACAGCTCTCTGGCCCTCTTGGAAAGCAATTCCCTCCACTGATGGTCCATCCCAACCCATGGTTCCTCCACGAAATTAATCAAAGTAGCCAAAGAAACAAACTTCCATTTACTCCCACAGTTCCATGCTCCCTTGTTGGTTTTCTCTCTTCAGTCAGGTCTCTGATCAAATGACACCTCCTCAGAGAGCCCTTTCTTGACCATCTTATCTTAAAATAGCCATGTCCATTTTGAATGTAAAAAAAAAAAATTTTTTTAAATAAGATAAAAGAGTGATATCCCTGGCCCATCCCACCAGCACTCTTTATCCCCTTATCCTGCCTGCACAGCACGTATTACTCCTGAAATTACTGAAAAATATGTGTCTGCACACTCACATATGGATATTTTAAAAACTTGCATATTATTTGTCTCTCCACTAGAAGATCAGCTCCAGGAAGACCCCAGGGATCATATCTATGGTTCTCATTGCTACATCTCCATCACTTAGAAGAGTGTCTGACACGTATTGGTTGTTCAATAAATATTTGCTAAGTAAATGAATAAATGAAGAATCTAAGACAATTGTATAAATTAACCTCATATAACAAGAAAATAACATTCGTGTTATAAATTTGATATGGAGTTATCAATGCCTAATTGGAAGGAATTTCCAAAGTTCTTCAGGTGCAATGCTTCTCCTATTGAGGTCCCGGAATGCCAGGGGTCCCTGAGACTGTCTCTGGTGGTCTTCAGAACTATTTTCACAATAATACTAAGACATTATTTGCTTTTTTCACTCTCATTCTCTTACAAGTGGACAAGGCTGTCAGAGAAGACTTGATACGTGACACTTCAACAGACTGAATACAGAAGTAGACACGAAAGTTTCACTCTGTCATAGCCAGATATTAAAGCACAAATGTAAAATGAGGCCACTATCCTCATTGTTTGTTTTGGAAAATGATTATTTTTGTAAAAATATGTTACTTATGTGAAGATGTAGTGAATGTATTATGGTAGTTTTTTAATTAATAAATATTTTAAGATTTTCTTAGTTTTATTTTCTAATATAAATATCCATAGCTAGAGCCCACATCACCAAAAGCTCTTTGAGGTGAATTAAGAGTGTAAAGGATTCTGAATGAAAAGTTTTTAGAACCACTGTTCTTGTTCACCATTTGGTAATATAAAGATTTAAAGTAAATGACTGACATGAACCAAAAGAACGCTGAGATAGCAGTCTCAATATCTGACCAAATGGGCAAAAAATATGTGTGTGTGTGTGTGTGTGTAGGAATCTAAGGCAAAAATATACAATATAAATATGTATACATATATATAATAATTGGAAAAGGGCAGTATATACTAATAAAAGGAAACCTGAAGGAGAAGATATTTTCATAAAATCATATATGTATCTAATTATGTAGTCCCAAAATAAATCAAGAAGCTGACAGAGATGTATAAATAAATGGATAAATCAAACATTGTAATTGGGTATTTTAACACACCCTTTACAGAAAAATGTCAGATCAAGCAAAAAAATAAACAGAATTATCAAATACATGTACAATAGAAATAATGATCTCAGACTTTTAGCTCTAGATCAGAATCCATACCCAAGGGAAAGGGAACAGACATTCTTTTGGAGTACACACTGAACATTTACAAAAATAGATCATGTATTAGATCATAAAAGAAACTTCAGTACATTCCAGAGGATCACCATCATGAAGACTGTGTTCTCAGACCATAACAATAAAATTAGAAATTAATAACAAAAGGATGTCTTTGGAAATTTTATGTGTTTCCCAAAAGATTAAGAAATATTTAGGACTGGTTAGAAATGGTTATGAAAACACTGCTCGTCAAAAATTGTGGGACAGGGCTGGCCAGTTAGCTCAGTTGGTTAGAGGGCAGTGTTGCAATACCAAGGTCAAGGGTTTGGATCCCAGGACCCGCCAGCTGCCAAACAAAACAAACAAAACAAAATGTGGGACACAGATGAATGTACTTAGAGGGAAATTTATAGTCTAAATTTATTAGGAAATAAGAAAGATGATAAATGTGAATAAGATGTAAAATTGATGAAGAGGAAAAGGAATAAGAAGATACACAGAAAAGGGGAAATAACCACAGACATAATCATGAACATTGGAGTTTAGGTCATTACTAGGCCTCGCAATCAGCTTAACATAAGCACAGCCATGCTGACCACTCACTCACCCTGTTCCCCTTCCCCCTCCCTTTCCCTCAAGGCAGGTGCATTCCAATAAGGACACCTGGTACAACTCACCCTGTCCCTCTACCCCTCCCTTTTCCTCGAGGCTGGTGCATTCTGATAAGAATGTCTCATACAGAACAGGAAAACCACGAAGCCATTATGGAATGCTGAGTGCTCAGAATAGTTGCCCAACCCCCTCCCAGACAAACCCTATAAAGACTCTGCTGGTCTGTACAGGGGCAGAAAACTGATTTCCAGTTTCCTCTCCAGGTTCACTGGAGTAAACTCCCTTGCTTGATAACATTTGGCTCGAAGCCTTTTATTCTGTTTGTCTCACTGACCTAACAGTCATTAGACTTGGTGTCTCAAATTAGAAGCCGACTGACAGATTTGGCAGGGTACACTGATGAGCGGGTCATTACAATCTCAAGAATGGTATTGTGGAAATTAGAATCCCCAGGTTCTACTGCCGCCTTGGCCACTGACTGACAGTGTGACTTGGACACACCACTCTATCACGCCACGCCTCAGTCTCCTTATATACAAGGAGGGATGCTGCGAGACTTAAGTAAGGTGTGTATGAAAGCATCACGAACGCTGCAGAATTCTAAACAATGGCAACATCATGATTGCAGGGTTGTTCTCGATGAGCTAACTAGAATTGTCTCAAAAGAAAGCACAGAGGGCACACTCAAAACAACAAGACCCTGCCTCCCTGCAAGATAAGACACCACAGTTAGATGAACGGTTCGGTAGGTGAGCAGGGTTGGAAATGGATGTTACTCACAACAGGAAATCTTTATTTGGGATATTCTTATCTGTTGTTTATACAATATGGACACTCTTTTACTTGTGTGGAATAGAATATGATAAAAATAAGCATCGTAACAATTTTTGGAACATTACTAGTCCTTGAGAACTTCTTGTTTTGTTGAAATGAAAAGTTACATACAATAAGTCTAATTAATATTAATTAAGATTAATATTATATTAAAATATCAATAGCTAATGTTTATTGAAGGCTTACTCTATACCAGTCACAGTTCTAAATATTTCTACTTGTTTTAAATTAATTCTTTCCATAGATCTATGAGATAGGTAACTATTTTTACAACTGTAAAAGTAGAAACCCCTCCACACTCAGATATACACTATAGAACTAACTTTATTTTCCCTTTATAGTTAGCCCTTAATAATTAACTAAGACTGTATCAAAAGCAGACATCCTGTCTCGCCCCGCACATCTCTCAAAGTAGGAAGCAGACGTCCACCTCACTTGGAGACATCCTGCCTCCCCAACACATCTACCTATGTAAAGCGCAGCCCTCAGTCGGGGACACAGTTGGGATTTTATCCTCTGTCTCCGAAATAAAAGGCCTTTCCTTTAAGTTCCATCTGGTGGGTGTGGTTGGAAATCCTCCAGCGGCTAGCCCTGGGACCCACATGAGTCAGGGGTTCCCCTGGCGCGGGGGAGTCGCACAGGACTCATTCATCACCACCACTACACACACTCATGTTACAGCTCAGGAAACTGAGGCATTCAACGACTGGCCCAAAGTTACACGGTCAATGCTAGAGCCAAGATTTCAGCCCAAGCGGTCTGGCCTCAAAGCTCGTGCTATTAACCACTGTATTATACTACAGGGCTTTGCAGTGTTGCTTGTGGTTACTGAGCGCTTGAAATGTGGACAGTCAGCGTTGAGGCGTGCTGATTTCAAAGATGTAGTACGGGGGGAAAAAGAATGTAAATGTCTCATTAATATTTTTGCATGATAACTATATGGTAAAATGGAAGTATTGGGGGTATGTAACTTTCGATAAAATATATTATTAAAATTAATTTAACCTGTCTCTCTACTAAATGTGGCTAGAAATTTCAAAATGATATAAATGACTCACAGCACTGTCGGGCAGTGCTCCTCTAGAGGTACAACAGGGTGTTTTACAGAATACCAGCATAAAGGCAGATCACATTTCATTGTTATGGACTCACTCTCTCAGGTCCCTCTTCTCTGGTTTGTGACACTAGTATATTACATATACACATATATATTAGGAGGGAAGTCACAAAGATACATAAGCAATCAAGTCCTTTAGTCCATTTCCTGAACACCTACCTCTTCCAAGTAAATGTTAAGTTTGTCAGTTCCAGATTCAACCCTTTTCACCAGTGGTTGCTGGAGAAGCTGAATAAAAAAAGAAAAAGAAAAAAATGGAGACCAAGAGCAAGAGCCTTCCCTATCCCCTCGGGTAATCTTCCAAACCTCTGTCATGATCAAGGAAACAAGATATTCTCTGCAAAAGGAATCAAGACTATTACAGGCTCCATCTCATATACCTGATTCACCTTTGTAACCCATTTAGGTAATCCGATCATTAGCTGTATACGCACACACGCACACGCACACGCACACACACACACACGCACACACGCACGCGCACACACACGCACACGCACACACGCGCGCGCACACACACGCACACGCACCCGCGCACACACACGCGTGCGCACACGCACACACACGTGTACACACATGCACACGCGCGCACGCACACGCGCGCACGCACACACACACACACCGTGATGCCCATTTCACCATTAACATTATGACAATGTTAGGTCTTGTCAGAGCTACTTAAATGAAGAAAACAGAAGCAACTTACCAACTGCTTGGTGCCCTCCATGGGGCTGAACCCAGAGAGCATCTTTACTTCCACAATAGCCATATTGGAAGAGCTGCGACTCCCCACATAACTGAGGGGAGGAAGAAGCAAATGTGTGAGTCTATTATTTCCTCTTTCAGTGCACTCTGCATCCCCAACACACACACACACACACACACACACACACATATCCCAGCTCAGCTCCTATGACCAAGGTCTCACCACAACCACCTCAGAGCTCCTCACCTGGTGTGGATAGTGAGAGTAAAGGACCGAGGTGAAGTAGGTTGCTCACATCTAGCTTTTCCCGTTTTCACAGTTATCCTAAAGGTTTCCATGTTTTTAGGAGGGAGAATATTATATCTCAACACCATCTAGTAGGAAGAAATGGATAACCAAATCAGACTTGGAAAGAACTTTAGAGATTGTGCAGTTAAAAACTACTTTCCTTACAAATAACAGAGAGAAAGTTCTAGTTGAAGCAAAGATGCCCTCAGACCCTCCTTCCCAATGCATACTCATCCTCATGGATCTTTGCTTACCTGCACATAGACACAGCCCTGGCCTGAGGCCTCTAAAGTATACGCTCCAGGGATGTTAGGCAGAGCCTCCTGCTGAGATACCAATCTGTTGGCAGACTGCACATTGAAAGTGCGCTGGAAATTCTCAGTGGATTTTACAGCCAGGTTGACTTCCTCCGATGGCACATAAGCAGTCGTGGCATATTTGGCAAGAGCTTGGAGAGCAACTACAGTATCCTGAGAAAAACAACCAAGAATATGCTTACCATTTTGTAAGCCACTGAAATTAACCTTAGACAACTCTATAACCCACACATGTGGTGGTTGTTATCTGACGTGGATGACCTCTTCTAAGTATCTAGAGAACTGCATTTACCTCCTCTGAGGAAGCTGACATAGAAATCATAGTATCTTGCTTCTACAGAAAATCACCATCAACAAGTTATTATTGAACATCTACAGGTTACTTGGCTAATCTAATAAATTCGTATTTAGAAATCACACCTAGGGGCTGGCCGGTTAGCTCAGTTGGTTAGAGTGTGACCTTGTAACACCAAAGTCAAGGGTTTGGTTCCCCATACCGGCCAGCTGCAAAAAAAAAAAAAGAAAGAAAGAAATCAAACCCAGCTTCAGAGGGGGTTATTGCTAGAATCAAGTGGTTCAGTATATATTTTACAGCTTCCTTATTTGGGAAGGAAACGGCAGTAACTTGACAGCCCTAGAAACTGCACAATCTATGAAGTTAATTAACTGTGTGATGATCTTCTATGTCAGTCAGAAAGGGTATCCTGATCTCTGGAAAGCCTTCCTTGCAGGCCAATGCTTTATAGCCATTATGTCATGTGACAATCTTTTCTTCATCTGGGAATAAGGCAGATAAATTGTCACTAAGAGAGCCTGTATTGCATAGTTTGAAAATTTCCATTCTGAAAACATAATTTATTTAAGTTACAACTAGGGGAAAAAAAAAAGAAAGAAGTGTTCAGCAAACTTGTCATATCTTGCCCTAAGTTACAAGAATTTCTGCATGCTTGACACTTTGTAAAATATATATACTACAAAGTAAAGGAACCCACTTCTTCATAGTCCAAATGAAAAAGAACATTCATTCATATTTAGACATCATTACTGTCCTATAAAATAGGAAGACAGGTCACCCACCCTGGGGAAGCTGTGAACAAGTTATATCTGCACAGGTTGATCATCTACAATTTTTGTCTACCCTTCATGAACTGGAGCCAGAGAGGTTTTTACTGCTTGAACACATGGAAGCAATTCAAGGAAAGGAACCTCACCATCAGCTGAAAAACCAACGTGGGTGACATGTGATATGGGACTTCTTGTAATAGCCAGGGATTTTATTAAAAAATAATTCTGACATATACCTGCCACTGAGAGTTCTAAACGTTTTACCCACTGCTTTCTAAAAATATTACCATATGTTACAATTATTTAGGGGCTGAGCAAGGAGAAGAAAGTCTTTCCTGATTTTGGCCAAGAATTTCCCTGAAACAGGGAAGCATAGCATTATATAATTTTTACCATATATGGTCATTACCATATTCAAACTCAGGGCTCTTAACATTTTTACCAAACATTCGATCTATTAAAATCTGTTAATTCTTCCAGGTCTAACTTACATGTTACATTTTCAGTGAAATTGGTCCTAATTTCAACAAGTCAAACTGTAATCCCCATGAGAACAAGAAATATTTTTTTCTTATTTTACTTCTGTATCCTCCTTGAACTGATTTGGACATGGTATATATAATATATATATATATTTTTTTTTATAAGGATGACCAGTAAGGGGATCTCAACCCTTGGCTTGGTGTTGTCAGCACCACGCTCAGCCAGTGAGCAAACCGGCCATCCCTATATAGGATCCAAACCTGTGGCCTTGGTGTTATCAGCACCGCACTCTCCCAAGTGAGCCACAGGCCGGCCCCGGACATGGTATATATTTAATAATATTTTCAGAACAAATGAATTTTTGACTACTCTCTTTGTGATAATCTAAGATAATTTTTATCACACCCTTTGAACTTATCATACAATTTTACCCCTCTTTTTTCCCCTACTACCACCCCACTAATTCAATTTCCTTTTGCCCCTAACCTAGACAAATGAAAGTCTCCTGATCTCTCTCCTTTAAATTATCCCATATACCAAATGACAGATTAATCCTTCTGAAACAAAGTTAAAGAAAAAAAAAAACATTAAAATATCTTTAGAGTTAGATACAAACTCAAGTCTGACACCCAAAACCTTTCATAATATGAACCTACCTACCTTTCCAATTTAAGCCTCACATGTTTCCACTAAACCAGTTTTCCCATCAGCCATTCAACACCTTTGCAAACTGGTGACTCTATTCACACCACTCCCTTTTCCTTTCCACAGTTGCCTGTCAAAATTTTACAAATCCTTTTAGATCTGCCTCAAATGCCACGCCCTCGTGGAGACTTGTTACCCCTCGAGCTAATGGAAGCTATTTCTCTCTTTTGAAATTCAGTAGTGTATCTTTTGTACCTTTATTATGTTATACAACTAGATCCTGCTTTGTAAGATATAGAATTTGACTTAGCTTTTCCTCTAGACTGTAAATTATTTAGAGTAAAGGCTATATCTTATCAGTTTTTCAACAACTGCAATAGCAGAAGGAGTTATGCCCATAAATCTTGCTTTTATGTTTACAAACCGTGTAATGGGCTTTCTAATTTATTAATATACAAATTTAGCCATAATTATCTATGCCCTATTTACAGGTAAAACATGGATCTCATGATGTTCCGTACTCTGTAAAGAAAGAAAATTTAATGCATCTGGTACAATTTATGTGCTCATATGACTCAATTTTATGATTCTTTCCATGTATTTTTCACATGCTTTTTCTCCCTCTCTATAGAATTATAAGACCCTGCACCTAAAGGGCAAGGGCAATATTTTTTCCTCTGTCTCCACATAGGATCTAATCCTACCTGATACGTGGCAGTGGGAAGCAGGCTGTTTACCTGAGTGGAAGAGAAGCCCCCATATGCATTGCGTTGTTTGGCCAACCAAGCCACTATGCTAGTGGCCTTGGCTATCTCCTTCTGAGACAGACTGTCCTGGGTAAGCTGGGCCAGGAGTACGTATGCTGTGAGCTCCACATCCAGAGCCTGAGGCTGAGACCAAAGGCTGGCATCTGATGGCTGAGTAGGTTTCTGGCTCCAGTGAGTGGATTCTCCTATGGAGAAAGAAGCATAGCTAGGGACATCTTGGAAAAAAACTTGCTTTCCCTTATATACTTTGTAAATGCTGCACCTTAGAGTGGAAAAAGTACCAAGCAAGAATTAATTATGGGTTAGAAAAAACTATTTTTCAGAATCAGCTGATTAATTGACCATGACATAAGTGTGTGTGTGTGTGTGTGTGTGTGTGCATCCACACACAATTCCCTAAGGTAAAGCTGAGGGCATCAATAAATGCTCCTGCCCCCAACAATTACATGAAAACCAACCTTGTTAATTCGTAAGTTCTCATGCTAGTGAGGACAGGTAAGTAGGAAGTTCTTATGAGAATCTGATGTGTTTGGGAGCATTTTCCTTGCTTATAGAATTTTATAAATTTTTCCACATTTACTTTACTTAATCAAAGGTTTAACCTTTTAAGAACAAAAACAGGATAACGTACGTAAGAATTCTGAGAAACCATAGAAGAAATGCTAATGAGGGTGATCAAATAAAATATGATGAGAGAGCAATCACACGGAATACGAGACCGGAACAAACCTCTATGACAGCCAAGATGACAGATAACTTGAAAAGAAAGAAGAACGAATGGAAATGAGAAGAGTGGAAGTCAGAAATCTAGTTAAATAGAAGTTTAGAGATAATAACCCACAGGAGGCGATCTAATTGGGAAAACATAACAGTAAACACAAGAGCCTGCAATGACAGATGACGGAAAAGAGGTGATGGTAACAAACCAGCACAGGGCGGGGCAGGTGTATTCCCATCACCGCCTGCGACAGCCATTCCATGACTACTGTAGCTTATACACACACAAGATGGAAACCACCCTGAGCCCATATGATGAAAGCACAGCTCAGCAACGATAATTATGTAAATGAAAGCTGAGAGTGAATTTCTGCCTAGAAGTATAATTTTAAACAGACTGCTAGATAAATAAAATGCATTAATATCTTATCTATAAGATCTATTATATCTTCGAATATTATTCTAAATATATTGAAAGTAATTCTGTACCAAAAAACTTTCAAAGATCTTCAAAATAATGACAATTGTACAATAATGCCAGTAAATTTTTAAAATTACTTATTTTTTATTTTTGGCCACAAAACAAGTCTACATTTAAAAAGACTAAAATCATAAAAATATGTTTTCTGACCATAATAACAAGAAAATTTAGAAAATTCACAAATGTGTGGAAATTAAATGACCCTTTCCCAAATAAACAATGGATAAAAAGAAAAATCACAGAGAAATTCGAGAGTACTTTGAGATAAAAATCAAAGCACAGCATATCAAAATTTATAGGACACAGGGCTCATGCAGTGCTTACAGGAAAATTTATACTTCTAAACACCTACATTAAAATGCTACATTGTTTTTAAAGGTATTAATCTCTTTGTAAATTCCCCCCTTCATATTCTGGATTTTTTTTCTTGTTTCATTATGTTGTTGAGTCTTTTCATATCTCAGTGAGTTTCCTTAAGATTGTTGCTTGGAATTCATTTTCAGTCACTTCAAGGGTTTCCTGCTCGGTAGGGTTTAGTATTTGAGAATTACTGTATTCATTTAGTGGTGTCCTTTTTTCTTGGATTTTCATATTTCTACCATGTCTACATTGATGTCTGGTCATCTGGTAGACCAGTTGCCTCTTCTATTATGCTGAGCTGAGCTTTGAGGAGGGAGATGTCCTCTTCTTTTTTTGGTCTCCATTGCTGACTCTCCTTGTGTCAATGTAGTTGAGTGCCTGGTCGGTGACCTGCATGGTAGCTGTGGCTACTGCTGTGGCATCTGCCACTTTTGTGGCAGTCATGGCTGTGGCACTGGCTGTGGTGGGCCACCAACGTGGAAGTGGTATTTTCAGGTTGTTCCTGGGGATGCAGCCCTCTGCTCCTGCCTTCAGACCCTCGGTGTGCTGTTTGCCAATAAGCTTTGTGACTAGTTTCTACCATCTAGTTTCTCTTCATGTTAAAAGTACAGCAATGCCCTTTGAGGACTTACATGGGCTTTCTCATAAAACCCCTAACAATGATTTTATAACTTAACTTTTACTAAAATTAATCCTAAAATTGAATATTTGTGGGACAGAGGAGAATAGGAAAAATCATAGATAACTCACAGTGTGTTTTCACAATTCCAAATACCTACCATGGCCAACGTACCTGAGATGACAGCCTGTTGATCTAACTTCTTCAGAAGAATGTTTCTGATGTCCATTTCCCCAGCCAGGGAGAAGGTATAAGCTAAGAGGGCCTGTGTGTAGGGGTTGGTGGCGGATATGACAGAATTCCTTAGACACCACAGACCCTGACCCACCATTTGGTCCTAAAAAGTGAAGATGAAGAACTGAATTTATAAGGCATTCCTTATAAAATGAATAGTAATTAGGAAGTCATCATATCTTCCTCAACCTTAAAAGGGTGCATAGGGACAAATACGGGTGAATGTCCCTAAGAATAGGCATGATAAGAATATAGAGGAGCTAAAAAAAACCCTCACATCTATGGTTTTTCCCATCTCCAACAGTGCAGCTGTGATGTAGGCAGTCAAGGAGATCTCATCATCAACACCACCCTGGAGGGAAACAGGGAGAGGTGAGTCAAGGCAGCAGCCAACACCCGTAAGAATTATGTGCAAATTGCAAAAAAGTATCCTCTCTAAATGGGAATTTTTTTTGTAAGTGCTCTTTTCTGTAGACTTTCTGCAGCTCCAAGCCTGCAGGACACGCAATGAGAAAATAGGCTGGATTTTATTAACTGCACAACTTTAAACGGGAGCCTACAGGAGGTAGCATGAGGCATCTGAGTGGGGATTTAGGAAACCCAAAAGAAGAAGTTAGGGAGGATAAGAGGTTCAAAAAGGGAGGAATAAGGAGAGAATCTCTGCTGTACCACTGAATCTGAATCTCCTCCCATGGACTCTTCTCAAGTAGCACAAAGCCCAGCTTCTTCTCCAGGGGAGACTAGGTGAGACCTTCCCTGCTTAATGCCTTTCCCAAAAAGATTTTACCAAATATTTAGAAATACCTAAACTAAATGATTATCCTCCTTCTATAGACAAGAAAATGAACAATTAAAAAGATTAAATAGCTTGTCGAAGGTTACATGGCTAATGCACAGCAGGACTGGGATTTGAACCCAGGGAGTTTAACTGTGCAGCTTACATGCCAAACCACTAAACCACGAAACCTGACTACACAACTACACAAGTGATGAGTTTTTCTCTTTCTTTCTTTCTTTTTTTTTTTGGGTGGCTGGCCAAGTAAGGCGATCCGAACACTTGACCGTGGTTGAAGTGATGGGTTTCTTAATGCAGCAGCTGGTTCCAGTAAGAAAGAAGGAGGAAAAACCCTCTGGGATTGTGTTCTAGTCAGATCCTGTCATGTACCTCCCAGGTATATTTCAGACAGTGTAGAAGAGAAGACGAAGACTTAGGGGAGACTGATAAGATGCTGTATGAGTCAGATCCCCATCCTGGCCAGACACCAAAAACAAAACAGAACAAAGAAAGATGCTGCACGAAGAATGCTAATGAATCCGACACTGAGATTTTTTTTTTTTTTTTTTCAGTGCTCAAGATTGTTGATCCAGGCCCTGGAAGAGCAATACAATGATTTCTAGGAGTTTGTACAAATCTTTCTTTCATTGGGTGTGTTCTGAACTGAACAAGTTATCCTGCAGCACCTACGCCTCACCCGTGCTTGGGAGGGGTACAGGCGATGTCACGAAAGGGCAAGAGCAGTGCCGCTGGAGCCCCGCTGTCAAGGTTCAAATCTCAACCCTGTCACTTACTGGCATGCACCGTGGGCCACTTACTTAGTCTCCGCACCTTAGTTTCTTTATCTGTAAAGTGAGATTAATAATGGTGTACCAATCCCTAGCTAACTGATTTGTTGTAAACATTGTATTTAATAAGCACAGTGCTTAAAGCAGTGCCTGGTACAGAATAAACCCCTTACAAAAGACACTGGGCTGCTACCAGTCCCCACCACAGGAAACGGCTTTGCTTTGGATATAGGGAGAGAGTAATATACCCAGAAATCTTCTAGGGAGTGGTCTCAAACTTCAGCGTGTACCAGAATCATCTGGAGGGCTTGTTAAAACATAAATTGCTGACCCCAACCCCAAAGGTTCTCATTCAGTAGGTCTGGGCTGGGAGCCAGAATTAGCATTTCACACAAGTTCCCAGGTGATGCTGATGCTCCTGATGTGGGGACCACGCTTTGAGAACCACGTTCTAGTTTATATTTCCATCCTGCAGACATGAATGCTGAGGCCAGACTGGTTATGTATGTTGACCAAGGTCGTGCAGAGCCAGGGCTGAAACCTGAAGAAAACTGACTCCCAGGCCAGTGCTCTTTCGATTCTGCTCAGTCAGAAGTGTGAGTTCCTCCCAGACGGCGGTGGCCTTCAGACCCGTGGACAGACCTGTACCTTCAAAGCTGTGTGAAAGAGCTTTCCCACGTTGGCATAGCAGCCGCTGGGGAGCTGGTTTCCTGCCATCCACTTGAGCGCATCCTCAATGTTCTTATCATCAACGAAGAGGAATTTCTGAGCTTGTCCAAAGCATTTTGTGACAAAGGCTGTCAACCTACATGGGTAGTGACAAAAATGTTGGCATGAAGGGGGATTCCAGGTGAGGGTGCAATAGTTCTATATTTTATTTTGGTGTATGGTTGCAGAACGGGAGTTGAAGAAAGATAATACCATAGGAAGCCCGAAAAGAGAGGCATTAATGGGCATTAATGAGGACAAGAGCTGGGAGGCACAAGGCCAGGGAGGAGAGTCAGGGACCTCACCATATATGAGGCTGGCACGAACAGTATTAAAGAGGTAGAAGAACGAGTATGAGAAGGAAGGGGGGGCCGGCCCGGTGGCGCACTGCTACAGTGCACCACTTGAGAGCGCGGCGGCGCTCCCGCCGAGGGTTCGAATCCCTCATACAGACCGGTTCCCGCTCACTGGCTGAGCGAGGTGCGGGTGCAACACTGAGGGTTGCGATCCCATTGCCGGTCCCAGTCCGGTACGGGTGTGACACTGAGGGTTGCGATCCGTTGCCGGACACGAAAAAAGTCAAAATAAATAAATAAATAAATAACATAATGTTCAACTGTTTAAAAAAAAAAAAAAAAAAAAGAAGGAAGGGGGTGGAGGGGGAGGTAGAGGAACAGCTCCAGAGGACTCAGGAATCACACTCTGGGGTGCAGAGTCCACGGGAACTGGGCAATACTACCATGTGTTTCCATCTTCATCCCGCTGTCCAAAGGCACTATAGGA